ACATAGAACCGAAATTCGGGGAGATCATAGGCATGCCACCATATCCGGAGTTGGGGAAAAATCCCATACCGCCCATGTGCGGAACTTGAGGAGTTTGCTCAGGGTGGAATACGTACGGGGGAGGAAAAGGCTGTTGCGGAGGCTGGAATCCAGCACGCATGTACCGTTCCATCTCCTCCAACCGGGCTTTTGTAGCAGCATCTGCTTTCCGCTGCTCCTCCCATCGCCGTTCGTGGTCCTCCAGTTCACGCTGCATTGTGGCAATACGGGGATCTTCTCCCCGCCTTGACCGAGAAGAGGAAGCGCCGGTGCTTCGATCATACAAAATCCGTTGCCCCTCGGCCCCTAAGCACGGAACCCGGCCCTTGTAAACCCCGGCCGCCTCAATGGCCGCCTCATCATCCGCATCGGAATCGAGGTCGTCCTCCTGGGTCAAGCCTCGTGCCGCACGCTGCCTGTCGAGGGATTCGTTGTACTTCGTCTGCATTTTCAAAAAGATTTTTTAAATGCTACATACTTAGATTTTAAATGTTACTAAATAACAAAATATGATGTTACATACTTCGAAGTCAGCGAGGCGGGGTGGCAAATCGGCTTCAGATTCCTCGCCGTGCTTCGTCCAGCAATGCTTGACGAGCCGGAGAACATCAACCTTCTTCTTCTCAGGACCAGCCTAAATGGTGTGAAAAAGACTTAAATTAAATTTTTTATAATAAAGGAATGTGATGTTGTAAGGTTTTTTGAATAGCACTTACAAGAGTTTCTTTATGGGCATTCTGAGATTTACGACCTCCGTGCCACTGCATCTCCAAGGCCTTCTCGGACATCCGGTTTTTCTTACCGGATTCACTTCTGGCCAAGAATTTCGGATCAGAAGACCAGTGGCGACAAAGGTTGGACCACACTTCATCCGAAACCCATCTAGGCTTTTTCCCACTTTTTCGCGCCCGTTTAAAAGTGGCGCGAAGCCAGGTCGAAATCCTAGCATTGTAGGCTTTAAGAATATCGGCACCGTGTGCGTGAGTCCAACGATAGCGAGCCTTTATTAAAACAAATTGGATTAATTAATCACCAGGTATATATTAGGCCAATACAATCAGGAAGGGAACATTCATTTATTTTTACCTTGAACAGGTTCCACCATAGTTCGCGAACCTTGGGGTCAACATCTGACAGTGTGGCCCAAGTGCCAAGAAAGTGTCCTCCGATGATGTTTTTGATGCCCGTGAACACTTGTTCGTCACTTAAAAAAATTAATAGTATTTATTTATATAAGATTTGGTTTGATTATTTAACATTATATAAAATTATTGAAAATAAGGTTTTTCATAACTACTTACAAAAGAACTTCTGCAGGCGTCACCCAAACAGCTCCATCATTGTTGCGCTCCGCTTCGGACATAGGCGCATGGTTAGGGCGGGGAGCCGAGGTCGATTGTTCGTTGCTCATCTAAAATATATTAATTTATTTTGTTTTTTGTTAGAACGCTTATAAAAGTTTGAGGTGTGCTTACTAAAGGTCCATTAAAGTTTGGGGTATATTTATTATTTTTTACTATAAAAATTTATACAAGTATTATTAATTGAAAATGTGTATAGCATATTAAACTATTTTTAGTTTAATATGAGGGGTCCATATTTTTTCATAATAAGTTCTTAAATAATTTGGTAATAAATTGCACTTGGAGGTAACATGTTAAACTTTTTGCAAAGTTTACATGAGAGGAGATCATTTTTTTATGTTTTAGATATATCATTTTAAAATAAATTTAAAACAGTTTGTTAAATCAAGTTTTACAAAAAACTATTTTTAAAAATAATCTGTTTAATAAAAGAGTTTTTAAAACAGTTGTTATTAAAACAGTTTTTACTAAAACAATTTTTATTAAAACAGTTTTTATAAAAACAGTTATTATAAATACAGTTTTTATAAAAACACTTTATATTAAAACAGTTTTTATAAATACTGTTTTTTAATAAATACAGTTATTATAAATAGAGTTTTTATAAAAACAGTTATTATAAATACAGTTTTTATAAATACTGTTTTACAAAAATCTGTTTAATAAAACATTTTATATAAAACAGTTTGTATATATCAATTTTTGTAAAACCGGTTTTTTTAGATAAATTATAAAAACAGTTTATATTAAAACAGTTTGTATAAAAACAGTTTTTATTAAAAACAGTTTTTATAAAAACAGTTTTTATTAGATTAATTTTAAAAACAGTTTATATAAAAACAGTTTGTATAAAAACAGTTTTTATAAACACAGTTTTAATAAAAACAGTTTTCATAAAAACACTTTTTATTAAAACAGTTTTTATAAAAACTGTTTTTTACAAAAATCTGTTTAATAAAACATTTTATATAAAACAGTTTATATATATCAATTTTTGTAAAAACAGTTTTTTTAGATAAATTATAAAAACAGTTTATATTAAAACAGTTTGTATAAAAACAGTTTTTATAAACACAGTTTTTATAAAAACACTTTTTATTAAAACAGTTTTTACAAAAATTTGTTTTTGTAAAATTTGTTTTTATAAAATTTGTTTATAAAAATTTGTAAAATTAGAATTAAACATGTTAAGTTTGTGAAAGCTTAACATGAGGGGGCAATTTTTTTTTTAATATTTCGGGTTAACCATTGAGAGGCATGCATATCACACACTAATCATATATATTAAATATTATTAATCATGCATAAGAACATATACTACACATATAATAATTTAAATCATTTAAACATAATTATCATGCATACAAAACATATAAATCATATCATGCATATGAAACATATAAACTAAAACAGTGTTTTGCCAAGTTTTTTTTGCATACGAAAAAATCTACATATATTAACATATAAATAATCTACATTTAACATATATTAATCATGCATACGAAACATATAAAATGAAATTAACATGCAAAACTACAAATCATGCATATAATAAATCATACATATAACTTTTGAAGATTACAAAATGATATGAAACTAAAATTCGTGCATCTTATCATGCATTTGAGTATACAATCATGCATTTTTGGAATTTTAATCAAATATTGGAATTTTAATCAAATAAGATGAACAAACACATAACCTTGACTGAAGAAGGGCCGACGGAAGAAGGTGGACGAAGGCGGCCGGAGGACGACGGCGGACGGCTAGGCGTTGACGGCGGCAGCTAGGCGGCGACGGCGGACAGCTAGGCGGCTGACGGCGGACGGCTAGGCGGCGGCGGCACTGTCTAAACTGGAAGAGAGGGAAGAGAGAAGGAAGAGGAAGTTAGGGTTTGGGAGTTGGGTGCGTAGGTTTTTAAAAAAAACGCTAAGTGTTCGTTTTATATAAGGGTTTAGTCACGGTCATAGTCACGGTCCGGACCGTGACTAAACCCTTCGTAATTGACGATGTCAGTGCCGACGGTCAGAGTCGCCATTAATCAGAATAGTCACGGTCAGAACCGTGACTATGACCGTGACTATTTTCAAATTTTGAAAATAGTCACGGTCATAGTCACGGTTCTGACCGTGACTATTATTGTCAGCGCCACTCTGACCGGCGGACTGACTTCGGCATTTACGAAGGGTTTAGTCACGGTCCTGACCGTGACTAAGACCGTGACAACTTGAAATTTTTTAGTATAAATAATCTTTCTCCGGCCCAAGACTGAACTGTAAAAAAAAATGGCTAATAGAGGTCCAATTGACTGGGATTCGATGTGTAGAGATATGAAACGACTTAAGCTGATTACAGAGCTTATGGAGCCGAAAACCGTGGAAGCATACGAGAGAATCAAGGAGTTGATGTCTAGACCCCTTGAAAGTTTTGGCGATTATAAAGATGAAGAATCCGACTCGTTGGGCAAGTCAAAAGCAAGAAATTTGTGTCGGATGCTTCAACGTGCACAAGAAGTTTCAGAGTATATGGACCCGATCAACGAAGAAGCTCGAATGAAAATTCAGGAGTTGTGGGCTAGGCCTCTTGAAAGTTTCCGATTGAGGAATGAATAATGTTAGTTAGGCTAATGTAATAAATAAATCTATGTTAGTTGTTTAATAAATAATATGTGACAATTTCATTGTGTGTTTTGTATTTATCTTTGAAATTTGATAAATAAATATCTGTTAGTTGTTTATTAATATCTAAATTTATTATAATATTCAGATTAGTAAAAGTAGATTACTGTTTTTTTAATTTTCGAATTTTGTTAATTTTCGAATAGACTTAGAATTATTAAAATTAATTTTCGAATTTCGAATTATTAAAAATTATTAAAATAAATTTTCGAATTTAGAAAAATAAAAAATAATATTTGAATTTTCGAATTTGAAAATAAAAGAATATAATATAGAGTAATTTCATATTTTGTATTGGGTAAATTTTAATTTTCAAACTTTGAATTGTGAAAAATTTTATTTTGAATTTATAATATGGATATAAAAAACTTGTTGTGGTTGAATTAATATGGAGTAATTTTTTGTTCATAAATAATAATGATAAAGATAGAAAAAAATTCAAATATTGTTGGAGTAATATAATGATGAAGAAATCTGCACAAATATTAGAAGTCAATAAAATTGAAATTACAACAGCACAATTATTCGCTATCAGAATCGTCATTTTCTACATATACAGTATCTTCTTCTGTATCTGAACCGTCTATCCATTCACCTTCTTCCTGATATTGAGCATTTTGTTGTGCTACATACATTTCCTCAATTTCGCGCTCAGATGGAATGGTTGGGTCCGGAAGGTGCGTTTCTGGCATGACTTCAACACGTCCGCCATTTGGATCACTTAATTGGAGGTTATAGTTGACCGTCTCAACAATAGGCGGAGGTTGGAAAAATTGTTGCTGAAAAGCATCTAGATCAACGTCCTTGTGTTGAGTTTGTGATTTTATTTTGTTCGGACGGACAGGACATGCACACACCCAAGGATTCTGTGTCCGCCTTGTTGAAGGATATTCTGCATAATAAATCTGCGCTGCTTGTTGGGCGAGTATGAAAGGCTCATTTTTTGGGTACACACGAGAGAGGTTGACGTCAATCATATTATACTTCGGATTTTTGCGCACGCCACGTGTGGGGTCGACCCATGTGCAACGGAACAGAACGCATGTCAATTTTTTCGCACAAGAAGGCATCTCAAGTTCCAGAATCTCCTGCAGGACACCAAAAAAACTGGTTTCCGAGTTATCATAACCGATGGTCGGGACACATAACCCGCTGTTCGTTGTTGGTCGGCCCTCTCCGTAATCGGCTGTGTGATATGTGTAACCGTTTATCACATATTGCCGCCACACTTTGGCACTGGCACCTGGGCCCCACGCTAATGATACTAACAAAGGGTCGACAATCCCACGACTATTGATCTGTAAATATAAACATAATAATAACATTAGGTAAACATTAGGTAATATATATAATTAATGTGTGTGTATATATACCTGATACTTGTACCAATTTACAAAATCAGAGTCCACCAACGCATCTATTTCATTCTCAGGAAAGGCTGATAAAGAAGCTCGGAATTCACTGTGAAGTCAAAAATAAAAAATAAAAACTATAAATTAACTACAAATTTAATTTATAAGTATTACAATTATAACTACAAATTTAACTTACTGATAAAACGGTGAGATTTCTGGACAATTCATGAGGATATAAGTATGCGCAATTTGCAATTCCCCACCCAGGATGTATCGTTGTGTCGCAGCACCTTTACCTCTGCCTGGGTAATTGAAGATGGAAACTACATTTTCATATAAATCCTCGCCAATGTCATCGTTCCGGGCAGGTCTCTTCCTTCTGGTGATGACGTCACGCTCGAAGTAAAAAGACGAGAACGTTGAGATTTCTTGTTGAAGATACGCTTGACAAATTGAAGCCTCAACGTGTGCCTTGTTGGTCACTTTCTTTTTCAGCTCTCCTAGAAATCTGCAATAATGCAATAATACACATGTTAATAGTTATTGTGAAATAAATACTCTTTTTTTAAATGAAATTGTGACTAACCTTTCAAATCTGTACATCCACCGATAGAAGACCGGCCCAGCAGTCAAAGCCTCATACGGAAGATGTATTATGAGATGTTCCATTGTATCGAAAAACGATGGTGGCATTATTTTTTCCAGATTACACATCAGAATGGGAACAGACTCTTGTAGTCTCCGGAGGGATGCCGCATCCAAAACGCTGGAACATATCGATTGAAACAACAAACTGATTTCAGTAATGCAGGACCATACGTGTTCAGGGAGCATCTCTTTTAGTGCAATTGGTAGAAGTCTTTGCATTATTACATGAGCATCGTGAGTTTTCATGCTCGTCGTCGTGGTAAGTTTGTTCATGTCTACGCATCTAGACAAGTTGGAGCAGTAGCCATCTGGAAACTTCTGAGACGCAAGCCATTTTAATATTGCTGCCTTTTGTGGTTCTGTGACCTGGTAGACTGCTTTTGGAACTTCCTTGCCCTGATATTCTAGATCAACAGAAAGTTCGGGTCTATCACACCAAATAGTCATATCTTTCCTAGCTACAAGACCGTCTTTAGTTTTGCCTTTCAAATCCATCACCGTGTTAAATATATTGTCAAAGACGTTCTTCTCAGTGTGCATGACATCTAAATTGTGACGGATGAGAAGGTCTTTCCAATAAGGCAACTCCCAGAATATGCTCCTCTTTGTCCACTTATGGGTATCACAATACCCATATGGCTCTTGGTTTGGCTCTTCCATAGCCGTAGGGAAACGTCGAACCCGGTTATAAATTTCTTCACCGGTCAATCTCGGGGGTGGGCTCTCTCGAACCGCTCTGCCTCTAATGAAAGACTTCTTGTCCTTTCGATATCGGTGCCTTTCCGGGAGAAACTTGCGGTGACAATCAAAGTAACTTCCTTTTTTGCTGTAACTGAGCCAGTTGGCACCTGATTTCTCCATGCATATCGGACATCCCATCAGACCGTGTGTGCTCCATCCCGAAAGCATGCCATAGGCAGGGAAGTCGCTAATGGTCCAAATGATGGCAGCTTTCATGATAAACATTTTATCTGATGAAACATCATAAGTTGGTGTCCCAACGGCCCACAGTTCTTTCATCTCCTCGATAAGGGGTTGGAGATAAATGTCTATCTTTCGCCCAGGATCCTTGGAACCCGGACAAATTAACTGCTTCATGTGGTAATATGAATCGGGAAGGGTATGATCTCGCGGTAGCATCCCTCCTACTGACTGCAAGACTCTATTCATGCAAGTTTCAGGGAGACTGTATTCGGCTTTTATGTTCATGAACTCAGTAACAGCGGATAGCTGAGAGTATCCCTCACAATCAGCATACAGAGGTTGGTCGACAGCTTTTAGAACATCCTGAAATCTCTCAGCCAAACCTTCATCCACATAAGGTTGATAAAATGTCGGATTTTCATCCGCATCTGGTTGATACGAGGTTGAGGCTTCAGGGGGGTCGTTAGGTGGTTGTGGGGGGTTGAATTGAGACGGTACACCGTAAGCGTCATATACCATTTGTTGGTCCCACCTCATTTCAGCACGGTCTCCCCACGCACTCATCTCTGGAGGGACGTAACGAGACGAACCTACCGTTTGTGGTATAACAGATGGATCCAAAGGTTCGCCGTGAGAAGTCCAATTATAATAATTGGGAACAAAACCGACCGCGTACAAATCATACCCAACTTCGTGTGGGTCTTTAAATTTGAGATTTTTACACTTTGAACATGGACATCTTATTTTATCACCACTCATATAAGCCGGATGTTCAAGTGCAAATTCAATAAATTCTCCGACTCCCTCGAGAAAATTTGATTGCATTCCGTACAATACCGCATCTTTATCATACATCCAACTTCTATTTTTTTTATACATTATGCCTGAATATTATAATAAAAAATTAGATGAAATGCAATGCACACAATTTTAAGTAATTTATTTCACTAAATATAATCAACTAATTTTCACTTTTTTTAAATGAAATGCACAGAATTCACATCTTAGTTATGCACAATATATATGTCCCCTAATGCACAATAATGCAGATAATTTCACTATATTAAACATACGTTTAATTAAATCTAACTAATTCATTTAGTTAAATTTAACTAAATTTAACTAGTTCATTCCGTCCCCTTTTAATGCATCACTACGTTTAAACTTACGTTTAGCTACCTAATTTAACTTAATTAACACATCAATAGCTACGTTCAAACCTACGTTTAGCAAACGAATTTTAATTAAATTATTTTTGTAAACCTACGTTTAAACCTACACTAAATTATTACGTTAATGACATTTAATCTTATTAGTAATACACAATTAACAATTCACTAAATTAAATAATATGACCAAATTCAACCCAATAATATAACAATTCACTAAAGTTTAACTAATTCTAATTTATGACATTACTACGCTTATAGTTAAAACATGTTGTTAATTAATTAACAACCTCACTAATTTAATAGTTTTAATAATTTAAATTGAACCAACTAATTCTAAATAAAAATTATAATTCAAATAACATACCTTATCTGCATAAACAGGGAAAATGATAGAAGATAGACTACATCCTTCGATCTACGGATACTGTATATACTGGGAATGAATTGGTGTGGTTCTGTTGAATGAATGAGTTGCTCCTGCATATATAAAAAATTTAGTCACGGACTTAGTCACGGATTTGTCCGTCACTAAGCAAAACCGTGTCCAACACGCGTCCAACACGTGTTAATTACGTGTAAATGACGTGTTAATCAACATAGTCACGGAACTAGTCACGGATATGGCCGTGACTACAATTATCCGTACATAATGCCGTTGCGAATTAACCAAGGGAGTTGAAAAAAATTAAATTTTAATTATAGTCACGGGCATAGTCACGGATTTGGCCGTGACTAAATCATCGGAATCAAAAAAACTGCGCCGGAAACGGGAATTGGCCTATCGGAGAAATTAAGTCACGGTCATGGACCGTGACTAATGTTAGTCACGGTCATAGTCACGGGCCTGACCGTGACTATTTTTTTTTTAAAAATTCCGTGACAAATCCGTGACTAGACCGTGACTAAACTAGTCACGGACGAAATCCGTGACTAAAATCCGTGACTATAACGCTGTTTTTTTGTAGTGACAGTATTATTTATACATACACCTCCATAATTTTTAATATTTAATATTATTTTATTATTTATAAATACATCTGCATAACTTTTAATTTTTATAGTATCAGTATCCTACTTTTCTTTGTTTTGCCGTATCTCTGTACCCATTTTCGTGTTTCCACGTTTCCCGTATCGGTGCTACATAGATCTCCACTGACGAAAAGATTAATGTCCGCATAAATCAACTCTCGGATGTGGCAGTACATTGTCCTAAACTCGGACCGAAGCTGCCCGAGGTGACCTAATTTTTATAGTATAATTTTTTATATTTTTCTCAACTAACCCACCTTGCTATTGCAGCACAAAAAAAACTATGGGATTGACACAGAATTGGCACGAACTTTTCAATATTTTCGTGCCAAATAGCTCGAGCCAAACTGTTTTTGGCACGAATTTGGCATATGTCTGCCAAATTTGGAAAAAACCTGTCAAAAATCCACTGCAACATAAATTCTTAGATCTGTGTCTGTATACGTTATACTGTAAACTTCGTCATTTTATACCTTTGAGCAACCACTAGATTAAAACAAAAAACAAAAAAAAAACTAAACATTCACGTCTTTTAAAATAGGTTCTAATGGCTCGCTAAAAATGAAATTATGTACTCTTTAAATAATGTAACAAAGAGTACGTGTTAGAGTGTGATGAGGAATTAAAATTAAAAGAAAAACTATACAAGATGAAAAAACGGTAAAACTCTATTGCAAGTGAGCAGGGTTGAATAACTATTTAAGCCTAGATATATTTTGACAAGTTTACGATGGTCAACTTTATGTTTCGGAAAAACGTAAAGTTAGACTTTGCAACATAAATATATAAGAGAAAGGGGAATGAATTAGACTATTGCAACATAAGTAAGAGATAGAGCTAGGAAATAGAAGAATTGTTTTTGTAATTTAGACTAGCTAGCATAATAATTTACAAGAGGAAAGGTTAACTTTTGGGAAAGTTTCTGAAATGGAGGTAATAATGTTTGGAATTTCAAAATATTAAATATATGTACTATGTTGGAGGAGTAAAACTTGTCAAGATTGAAAAATAATTGAATATTTAAAGTTTGATAATATCGAAAAATGATAGTAATTACTCATATTTAGGGAATATAAATATATACAAGTTCTATAATGAACAAACGTTATTATTTCTATTTAGGATGGGTTCTTTTAATATTTTTATTTCAGATGGTTAGAGGATCACTATTTATTTGATGCTTTGACTTCAAGACTTCCTAATAAAGCAGGATTAATTTAATTGAAGAAAATTCAAGAAATAAGAGAAATAATCAAATATAGCCTTCTTTTAGAAATAAATACATATAATCCTATTTTTCCTTCATAGTCCTATCACAAATTAAGTAGCTTCTTTAACATTTGTTGGGGTTGTGGAGACTACAATGAGAAGCTAAGGAAGGAAAATGTAACAACAATTGATCATTTCTGTTTGGATTTACTACGGTCTATGCAAACAAAAAGTGAAAAATATAATGAATGCTATTAAAACTATATAGTAAAATTGTCGAGGATGTTTATTATTTATATAATGTACACGCACAAATAACATTTGAATAAAGATTTCACAAAATTTGTCGAGTGTGAAACAGAGGCTTATTGATTTCTTTCTGAGACTTTTCTTTTCTGGTATTTTCTACCTTTCACACGAATTCTATATTGAACCGTGACAAAGTATATCTGGTTTATGAACAATTAAATCAGAAGTGACTAATTTTTAGGTACCAATAGACTTTTTTTAGATCCTTCATGGGAATTGTATGGAAATATTTGAAGGAATATACTTCACTTCTGTCTATTCATATTCACGAGCCTTGAAATACACTACCTTGTGTGGAATAAAGTGGAATAATGAATAATAATGATAGCCAGCTAGAACTTGTGTGACATGTTTGATTTTCCACTCTTATCTTCCATATACAGAGCTTCTTGATAACGCAAATACGGCAATTTTGTCATTAAATCTATAGTTAGATTCTTTGATTCCTTCTACCCTACAAAAAGACAAAAAGAATCTGCCAACCTCCACAAAAGAAGATTAAAGAAAAGTAAATTAGAGATGTCTTATGTGGTTATCCCTTTCAATCCCTAATAATATATACTATCATCGTTTAACAAAAGTTGTTTAACAAAAGTTGTTTACAATATTAATTTATACTTTTCCAATAAAGAAGACATATGGACTGTATAAAAACAAATTGTGTTTTGCAAAAAGA